AACTCAGTAAATTTACTGGTAATGAGCTGTAACATCAGAAATTGTGCTTGGCAGGAACCGCACCGCACAGTGGTTCGAATAGCAGATCTAGCTGGATGAAAGTCAAAATTTTATTTGTTTTCAAAATACTTTGTAATACTTGGAATACATTCCTGACAACACATTTAAATATAAATTGCATTTATAAAGCAATAAACACATGGAAGCAAAAAAAAAAGATAAGTCAACGCCGTCTATTTGAGAACTCTATTTTAAAAAGTGAAATTTAACTTGAAAAGTTTGCTAATCGCACTCACAAATATTTGCATAATTGCAAATTGATTTATAAACCAAAAATTACACTTATTTCGCTATAGATTCAGAGGTATTTAACGGAATTTATGTCCACATGAGTATAAGTAAATTTATGCTGAAAATTCGTCGTTTTGATTAATTAAAAAAATAAGTTAAAGAGTAGGAAAAGTAAAGGCCGCTGAAGGCCGTGGGGTATAGGGCTTTCCATTGATTTTTGGCATTTTTTTTTAAGTTTTTTAGTTGACGATGTCAGTCATTTCCTTCCATACGAAGTATGTTCGTTGCTTTTTTTATATGGAGAATATGAGCAACACCTTCGGCAAAAAAAAAATGCCAAAAATCGAAGAAAAGCTTTAAGTACTTCAAATTTGCACTTTATTTCAAGGAATGAAACCGAAACCCAAACCGAAACCGTAACCGTTTAAAACCGTTTCGTTTTTCAAAACCGAAACCGAAACCGTAACCGTTATCTTGACCTGAAAAGGAACGATACCGAAACCATTTCAGTCACAGGTTTCAATCGGTTTCCAGAAATTTACAAAAATAATAAATAAAAATTTCTTTGAAATAAATGATTTATTTAACCAAAATCAGCAACATTTTGCTAAAATTCTTGTTAAGTAGTAAATAAGTATGGCAAGGTAACTTTTCGCAAAAATCTGCTGATGACTTTGTTGTTGTGAATCGATAATCGATTAAATATATTTAAGTAGTTTCTTTCCCGTACTCAATGCGAGATCCCGCGTGTGCCCAAAATAGCCCAGAATTCATGCCTGTACTCAACAAAATGGGTAACAGAGAGCGAAAATTCGAGCGTACTCGATCGTAGGTGTATTCTTCTTCCTGCCCGAAACAGTCCGAAATTTTCTCCGAGTAAAAATGGATAAAGTGTCAAAGTGCATATCAGCTGTATTGTGTTTACATGTTGCCTGCATTTACTTGGTGCTTTTAAGGAAAAGTGAATGGCCTGTTGATGTATTTTCAATCTATGTACTTAAAATCAAATTTGTGAAACCAAAATTCAATTTCCAAGTGGTTTTCGTTTAACAGTTTTTATATGGACGAAAACACAAGTTTTAGGTCGAAAACCAGTTTTAGCAACGAAAACATGTTTCCGATGTCGGTCAGAACATGGTATAAGTGACAAAAACAAGAACAACGTGAATCAGCTGTTTCTCGACTTGTGGGCACGAAATGTGGGTTTTTGCGTTTCCGTACTTCTGAACTTTGTTCCATTTTTGAAAGAAAATGTTTCTCTTATTCTCTAATTACCAAATCCGGTCCGGATTGTTAGGGAAAGAACCTAGTGTTGATATTATCAGTGAACTGTAATTTTCAATTTTCTTTCCTCAACGTTTAAGACATTGTGATTTAAATAATATCAACAAAATTTCTGTGAAAAACCGAAACCGGAACGAAACCGAAACCAAAACCGAAATAAATTTTGAAGAACGAAACCAAAACCGAAACCGAAACACTTGGCAAAACCGAAACCCAAACCGGAACGTTATTTTGAATCGGTTTCATTCCTTGCTTTATTTTACTAAAATTGAATGTGCTAACAAAACTGCATACTCAAGATCCTTCTAAGAAACCTTATTAAAAACATCGAAATTTTTACGAAAGTTTGTTGGGCTTTTTCCCATATTCCACAAAGCTTGAAAGTTGGATTTATACGGTTTTTGTTAAAGAACAATCTAATTTTTTATGAAAAAATAATTAAGATTAAATAATAATAAAATAAATAGTCATAATTTGTCAATATTTCTGATTCGTAATCAGCAACCCAGAAAACCCCCAGATGCCCAGTTTCATAGAAATCTAACGATTCTTTAAATTTTTCGTCTGCCATATTGGATCCGCCATTTTGAATTTTTGATAATTGGCTTAAGATTCGAGATCGGCAACCCAAAAATCCCCTAAATAAGAAGTTCTGTAAAAATCCATCAAAGAGTATTTGTTTAAATAGTTTCGTCCAGTTAGATTTGCGAGCCGAACCACTGTGCACCGTCCCGACGATAAAGCGGATGGTTGGTCAATGGCTTGTTGGCTGACAAATTGACTTCTACTGCAGTGACTTGCTGATGATGAACAGTAATAAAGCATAACTATGCATATTTATACATACATAAATATGTACGGATACAAAGTTGTAGTTCTATATATTAGTAAATGCTGTGAATGCGTACATAACTCTGTACAAATTTCTTGTACATAGTTTTGTTGGATAGTCATTGCGACGATGGAAAAAAAATGCGAGCTCCGTTAGTTGTCCTATCCACAAATGGCTGGCAAATGTAAACTGGACCACACAACACCAAACAGGTCTATGCTGGACTGGACACAACGAGCTGACAACTTGGGCTTAAATGTATACGCGCCATGGATGCAGGAAAGGAAAGCCAAGGAAGGGAACCGGTAAAGCAATCAAAAGCACTGTAGCGAAAGCAATGACTTTTCAACGGCCTCAGCTTTGCAGTTATGCAATTTAAGCATTTGAAGCGCTTAGATATGAACACAAGAGCAAGAACAACCACTAGAGCATAACAACAACAACACTAACAAACAATGCATCAAATATTGCGGTTACACACGTTGCATTTCGCTGGGAATTTATGGGAATTTAAATAATTTAGTAGAAAACATTATAAGTGCAGCAATTTTCTTTGGCCTTGTCCGCGAATTATGGCCAGCTAGAATTTAAGATAAGCGTGAAATATACATACATACATATAAATTTTGTAAAAAAAAATGCTTGACAAATTTTTCAGGTTTTTCTTGTATACAGCTGCTGGCTTGTAGTGTTTTTATGTTTTTTTTTTCTATAGAGATTTGAAGTAATTTTTATGTTAGTCACACTTCATCCGTTAGTTTTTTTTTTGAATAAGAAATATGTATTTGAAAAAAGAAAATTTTTGGCGCTTACATATCTGCTAGTGCTTACCGTTATTAGAAAAAAACTGTTTTTTTTTTTATGTTGCTCCAACACCACAATAAGCAGACAGGTCTGTAGAGGCACCCCCAAGGGAGGGGTTCTATCCCTCATCTCTGGATTTGTTTAAAGGAAACATCGGCTTCCCGCAGTCTCCCCGTTAATCTTTAAGGGTGTGGAGATACCTTTGAAGAAGAATGTTAAGTATCTAGGAATGATATTAGGAAACTTACGTGGAAACCTAATATAGAGGGAAGAGTTAGGAAGGCCAACGTTGCATTATACACCTACATACAAGCGGTCGGAATTAAATAGGGGTGAACCCCATTGGTCAGATCAATCAACTCAAAAGGAAAGTTACCTGAAACTACTGGGTAAGGTCGAAAAAACAGCGTTTTTATGCAGCTCAGGTGCCTTAAGAACCACCCCAAACAAATCGCTAGAAGTGTTAACGAATTTTCCCGCAATAAATCAGGTAGCAAAATACGTGGCCCCCGCTTCGGCGCTCAGACTAAAAAGTATGGTGCTATGAAAGGATGGGCGGTCCTGCTACGCTTCCATACTTCGAATACTCCGCCCCTCAACCCACCGTCGATAAGCTCTTTAAGACTATGGAGAAGGGGAAAATTGAATTTTCGCACTGTTAAAGAAGAGGGTAAATCGGGATACCCATTGCAACCTGCAAATTAAGGAATAGAAATAACATGATGCAAGAGGCCAATAGGGCATGGCTAGAGAAGGGCACTCGTAGAGCTACCAGGCTACTATGACCACAAATATGTAAGAAAAGGACTCAAGAGATGGTCACGGCTTGGGTAACCGGTCATTGGCTTTTTGGCAGGCACTCTTGAAGACTAGGAATTTTCTCCCACGAATATTGCAGAAGTTGCAGAGACGAGGAAGAAACCATAGAGCACTTTTTCTGCAAACTGCTCAGCTTTGGCCCAGAGAAGAGCAGACTATTTACGTAGGTACTTCTTTAGCTTTTTTACTGAATTATCCGGTGTAGGAATAAAGCCAGTCCTACTCTTTATAAGAGCTGCGAACAAAGTCCTCAAAACTCCTGACACTGGAAGCATAGATAGTGAGCTGAACCCATCGACATCGCCCGCTTCCTTGACCTCAGACTTCCTTGACGAGACTCATAGGGGGATCAACGAAGGTGGAACCTCTCCCACCACAGTCGGGACTATGTTAACGGAACGATCCAGATTAATACTTGGCCAAGGTCTGCCACTCCAGCATCATTCACAAAAAAATCGTTGGAGAATTTCTATGCTGTTACAAAAACAACAACGGAGATAGAACATTTCTTTGAGTTGTGCCTTTGTTTGCCTTCATAGAAATTGCCGCTGGACACCAATCAAAGGCCTGGCTGTTCGGTAATAAGTATAAGACAGGTTTAACTGTAATTGAGTCCAGACCCTCCCCCATAATGCCTTGAAAGCAACGGATCTATAGAGAAAAATCCTAAGTGAATTCCCCATAGCGTTCACTAGTGATTTACGCTTCGTAAAGGCTTCTTAATTGTTAATATTTCGTTCGGTATAATTCTCTCTTTGACACATAAGTCAGAAAACTCTCAAATATTTGCAGTAAGAATAAGGTAAGCCTTATAGACCAGTAATCCTTGGGATGCTAGTGACTATTTTTACCTGGTTTCAGTATGAATGCAACCCATGCTAGTCTCCAAATCTTCGGAATCTCAGTATCTCTTAGATCCCGTTTTTTTTACAATTCTACAAAGCTTGAACTTAAACTTTCCATTGCTTACCCGAGGGTTTGGTTACGCTAGGCTGACAAGCCACAAGGCCGACATTTGCGCTTACCTGTAAAAGTAAAGAAAATAGCAGTTAGACTAAAATATTGTGATTGGTTATTTAGTGTTAGAAATTTACTTAAATAACTAGATGCATGTTTCTACAATTGAAAGATGATCCCGTAAAGGATTTTTCGTAAACAATAATTGAGTATTTTAAACCGAACTACGAAGGGCAACTAAATTAACAAGCCAGATTTAGTAGTTACGAGTATATGTATGTATGTATGTCTATGTAAGTTCTGAAAGACTAGCAATATCATCTGGCTTTCATAGATGCCAAGGGCTGTGACGACACAACCTTTTTATTCAAGCTGGCTTTGAATGCAATCCTAAATTTTAAATTTATTTCCGCTGCGTTTGCCAAAAAAGCCTAAATCTGAATTTCACTTCGGTTAGGTGTAATTTTTGCAACACTCGGATGATCTAGTGATTATTGCTAGAGAGGGAGAGGTTCGCGACTACCCTCTGTGTTCATCGTTCAAAGAAGACTCAATCTAGCAAATGGTGGTGTGCTGATGTGGGCCAAAATATTAATCTCTCTAAAATAGTCATTGTTCCTTTAACCAAGGAAGGAATTCTCATATTCGGCGTCGCCACAGAAGATAAAGATATGGGACTTATCCTGGACTCCAAACGTCGGACGGCCCTAAGACCCCTAAGGGTACATGGCACTAGGCTGAAACTTTCAGAGCCCTTGGGAATCTAGAATCTTCCAAGCTGACGTCTATGCCATTAGTCAGTGTGCAGAGATTAACCTTCGTTAAAAATTATGCAATTAAAAGGATCCTTATATCAAGTGATAGTCAGGAGGCATTATGGCTCTCTCATCCTTCAAGGTAAAATTCTCATTGGTGCTAGAGTGTATACAGAATAACGCTTTAACGATCAGTTGGCCTGCCTCGACCTTTATAGAACCTGAGCCCTTCCTTGTAGTAGATCTTAACACGCTAAATGAAGTTCTCAGAAAGGAAAATATCAAACTGAACTACATTGGCAGAACACCATGGGCTTTCGTCAAGCTAAGAGCTTAGGTAGGTAGGTAGGTAGAAGTAGCTGCCACCTTAGCGGCACACTTAGGCCATAGATAGCAGGCCCATTGTTTTACCCCAGCTGTCAGACATCTTTCGTCGGTATTTGAAACCTCCGTAAGGTCGGCCGGGAACGGTGCACCCACACGACGCAGCTTGATTCTACAAAGTGCAGGGAACTTACATACACTGAAGATGTAAGACTGTTTCCTCCTCTTCGTAGTCCTTACGGCTTCTGTAACATCTTCGCAAAGGGCATGCCGAGTCTTTCTGCATGCGTACTCATTAGACAGTGCCCGGTTAGAGCCACCACAACGTTAGATGTATCCTGTCTTCTAAGAGAGTACACCAATCGTGACCGCTTCTGATCCCATTTAGGTTAAGCCTGCCTGGAAATTCGACAAGTCGTCATTTGAGCCGCATCTTTCTTCAGCTTGTTTGTATAAAAATTCACTAAGCAGCAGATTGCAAGTGACAAATTGCAGGCCGAATCTGCTTGATCGTGCCTTATGTTGCAAGTTCATCTGCCATGCAGTTTCCCTCTATGTCCCTATGACCAGGACCGCAAGTGAGGTGAAGTCTGTTCTGCTTGGCTATATCCTGTAGAACTAGGCGGCAGTCCAGCGCAACATTTGAGTTAAACTTGATAGAGCTCAGAACTTTGATTGCAGCCTGGCGAACACTAAAAATGATTACGTCTCTTCCAACCATTTCGGTTCAAAGATTATCTGTGATAGATAGCTGAAACTTCAGCTTGGAATATGCTGCAGTAGTCTGGTAACCTAAAAGAGATTTTCGGAGGAGGGTTTTTGAGAAAAGCCCTGAAAAGAAATGACTTTCCAACAGGGAGTATTGTCAGCATTGACCAAAGTTTATGTCAGCACCTTCTGTCCAATATTTATTAAGTCCTGGCTAAAGTTTATAGCAATACTGACCACAGTCTATGGCATGACTCAGATATGTAGGTCCTTTAAATTTGTAAACTTCCTTTCGCTTAGGCACCCATGGCAACATATCCAAGGTTGACTAAGTATCTACTATAACTGCTATCCTAACAACAACAATTTATTTTATGATTTAAAGCAATTCCATAGACATTTTTCTTAGTACAAATTTAATGCGCGAAAAGCGTATAATACTCGTAAAATTATACTTTAACACCTTTTTTTTTTATTCGAATCTGCTTCAGCGTAATTTTATGCAAACACACACTTCTCAATCTCTGTAGACACTTGCAAGCGCCTATCGGGCGTCCTTAAATTAATTCAAATTTAATGAGCATTAAATTTCATGCACCGCGTGAAAAAAAGAAAAAGGCAAACAAAATAAATATATTTCGAATCAAATACTTTAGAAATAAAGCGGCGCGGCAGTTTGGCGAAGGCGGTCCAGTTTTGAATACATACCCAAACGCCTACGTTGCGAACGGCGCCATGGACGGGCCAAATACAATAATTTTTAAACTAATTAGCATAATGAAGTATTAATGCTAATTGAATATTGAGTAGAGGAAAGTATGCGCGGCTATGTAGATATTATTTAGCGCATAGCTTAAGGTGAGATTTTAGCACACTTTGGCGACTGTGGGAAAATATTTCAACAAATACGCGTACATAGATCGATGGTTGTGGTGTTATGTGGATATGTACCTACTCGTATGAATGGGCTTTCAGAAAATGGGCAGAGAATTCTTCGATCTTTTCACTAAGTTCTCTCAACTGACTGGTGGTCGTAGAAGCAAGGTAAACCATATTAAAAGAACAAAAAAGTTAAAAGCGCTTAGGTAAATTGCAATAGCATGGAGTATGAATGCAAAATTATTAAAAGAAGCACGATGCACTATACTCAATGTTGCCCCTTTTTTAAATTAATAATGACTAAAAAAAGTTAATGATTTAAAAAATAAGAGCTTTTTATTGACTGGCATTTGGTTTCCCACGTTTCTGCAAAAAAAAAAAAAACGGGTTAACCCTTGACGACCGTGCGGTCTAAAGTGTCCACCTTTTTTCATTTATGTTTTTTTTTTTTCAAAAGCTCAAATGCAGTTTTTTTCTTGATATTCAGATGAAAGGAAAACAAATAGTACTTAGATAGTTATCAGGACCATTTGAACAGTGGGTATTTTTGAAAAATGTTGCTAAATTTTACAAATTTCAGTTGAAAACCGGAAAATTTTAATTTTCGTTTCTTAAAAATACAACAATAACTGAAGTTTCAAGCAGTAACCTTTTAAGTAACAGAAATTACGGGCCTCCAAGCGCTAAGGCGCTAAGTATCTCTTTTGAATTCCCCACAAGCCATTCGTAGTTGATCCGCTGGTTACAGTTTTCGACCTCCTTATCGGGCCTTTCACATGAGGGTTTGAAGAGCCTGGCTGTGCTTCCTCACATAAACCAACAATCAGCGTACCTGCATTACTTATGTTAATTTTTAGTAATGCTTCAATTTTTTCTAAGAATCTCCCGCATTTATTCATTTTTTCGCGAAATATTAGCAATAATTTGTATTTAATTTCTTTTATAATTACACTTATTTCGCCGTCATTTAGATACTTGTAACGTTCTTTTAAGGACTCTCTTTAAGGACATCAAAGATTTTATAGTTATGTGAACTAAATATGCGCCTCTCAACACATGATTTGGTTATAGTTATCAAATCATGTGTTGAGAGAAACATATTTAGCTGACTTTTTTCTGAGTATACATACATATAAACATACATAAGTACATGTCTTTCCTACTCTCCATCTAAACTCAGTATAATTTTGAGCAGTTGTATGTCGTACCTAAATATGAATGTATAACCTGTTCCAACTTTGACAACTGACAAAATACATTTAATTTAAAAACTCCAACAAGTGTCTTGCGGCTACTTTTGTCTGGTCGTCTGTCTGGTTGCTGTCTGGCTGTCGCGTGGTTGGCCTCATTGACATGCATAAATTTGGATTGAGTTACACCCTACGCAACGTACAGCCAAATTAGGGATTCGTTTTTGTTTACGTTTTTATGTCTAACTTTGTTGTTGCTTTAAACACATTTTTTTTGTTTGTGTTGACTTTCATTGCTTCTGTTTTTGGCTGTGCTTAAAAATTGTATTTTGACTTTTGTTTGCTTATAACTTTGATAAATTACCCATTGCAATTGTCTTCAGTTGTTTTGTGACATACGAATTGAAAGACGAATTGAGCGAAAATACAACAACCATTTAGGGTCTTGGTTTCCACAAGCTTACATATATGTATTAGTTAATAGGCTCATAAGACTATAGACAGATTTACAGGGTCGTCTTGTCTAGCATTTGGCCTTTTACTGTCAAAAGCTTGTTTTATGTCGCTTTGTTTGTGCATACGTTTGCAAGTGAAATTGAAATTTTATGCTTTTTTGTCCAGTATATGCACTTTTGCTGAAACATACCCACATAGTTAATGGTAAGACATAATGGACGCAGACATTTCATCAAATATTAACAACAAATATTATTTCGATGCTGATGAAGAAGAACCCAAAAGTATCTCTACTTGAAGCTAACATTTTTCCACTCGAGGTTAGAACTTTGAGAAAGAAAAGCGGCAATCAGACCAAGGAAGCCGAAGAAAAGTGGGACCTGCCGTTTGAACAGCGATGAATCGGATGAATTGTTACCTAGTAGTCATTCGACGTACATAGGGAAACACCAGAGCATCCAGTTCTAATCCGCAGCAGAGTGCACTTAGAAGTCAGGTAAGGAAACTTTTTAAACTTACCGAGACTCGCGAAACGGGGATGATCTTAAGATCTCGCTGGGAAATGCAAAACAACAAAACTAAGCTTATGAGAAAATTGTTTCGAGGCTTCTGCGTTAATTTTTAAAGTTCAACTGAGACTACAAGATTAAGGAGGGTCCTATATACATATGTACTTAAGGGTGCTATGTCTTAGGTCCTTATCAAACGTTAGGGCAGAACATGAAGCCAGAACGTTGAAGAATCGCTGAAACTTAT